GCTCCAGCTGTGGGCAAAGGGTCAGTCACCTATTTTTATGAAACACAATATTTCTCAACTGGTTTTTGAAAATCTGCAAATAATATATTTCAATCTTTGTCTGGGCCTAACATTAATTCACTGTCTCCACATCCCTCCTGGCAAACATATGGCAGGGTATCCATAACTTAATTATTGACTCCTTAATGTACTAAACATCAAACGCATTTTTTTTTTGTTAATCTAAAAAATTTCCTTGGCAGTCTGTCTCTGAACCTGTAAAAGGAATTACTGTCCACATTTACTGATGTCTTGATGCTCAAGTTTTTTTTTTTTTTTTTTAAACTAGCACGAATTTTCGACAGAAAAAAACAACTGTTCAGCTCGATCATCACAAACTTTATACTGAGCTTTAGTTGAAAAAAATGCTTTTTTGAATAAATAATACACCATCTTTGGATTACTGCATAAACACAGGTTTAACTTGATAAAACTGCCTGTGAGGCAAAATACAGACATAATCATGCCTACCACCCATGACTGCTTGATACTAATTGTATGAGGCTGGTTTAATCCCAGAGAAGTATGGACTGGAAGTAAATAAACATTCTACCAGACCAAGCCTCAAAGCCCTTAGTAAGTACAACACTGCACTACACACTACAGTTGGTGTACATATCGAATTCTTCTATCAATACTGGTCAATAATTATTACGAAAATAATTGGCGTTAAAAACTCCACTACCAAACTTTAAAAAAAAATAAGTCGAGAGGACCAACTTCATTGCGCACGCAACACTCAGGTTCTGGAACAGGACCGCAGTCCAGAAGTGGATAAACAACCAGAACTTTCCATTGAAAATTTTACAGCTGGTGAATGCGAAGAAGACCTCCTATGACATACTTGCTGAAGGGTGTGAGGGAGAATAGGTATATTTTATGTTTTCCAAAACAGAGCCCTGGAACCCATGCAGGGTAAATTGTGGGGGTAAACTTAGGGTTAAGACCTAATGCTGTATGCTAACAGTTATGTGAAGCCTGTAGCTTCAGACTGATAGAACATGAAAATCCTATCAAATGACAAAACACAAACTATCAGACGTGGCCTACAAAAATCCTGGAATATGCTATGAGCACATATATTTACTTAGTCTGGCCTTACAGAATTAACTGAATGTTTAACCCAAAAAATGGACCCTGTTCTATGCCGTTATGCATTTTGGGCATATAGGGCTAGACCTATATTTAAAGACCAACTGGCACTTGGCAGATGATGTGGTCAACATCAAACTGACCACTTTTACTTTCCATTTAAGGCTGGATTGACCCGATTTACTGAATGAACAAACACGAATTATGTTCTAATGTGTAAGTATTGGGCATGCAGTCCTGAGCAGCATTCTGTCCTCAAACTTTCAGCAATCTGAGGACAGACTGGTCAGTTTAAAATTATGTCCAAGCCACATCAAGCGGTGTGCAAACACCAGTAAACTGTGAAACCCTTTAAAATGTAAGGAACCAGTTCTATCTGCCTGGCTGCCATAGTTAACAAGGAGGTAAGTAGACAGCTCATTATTTAAAAGTTGTTAAGAAGATGTGAATTAATTTTAGGCGTCTGATATTTCTCGAAGCGTAAATTTAAAAAAAAAGAACAAATATATAAGCTGCAGGGTATGAGACTGTCACACATGAGAACATGTAACTATATCAGCAACAATGCTGCATCTGTGTGTACCATGGACAGTGACAAATCATGAAAACTAGAATTCAACATTCAATTCAAACCAGAGTGAGGATAAAACTTGGCACCTAGGACTCGCCCATTTCCATTTTATGTGACTAAATGACAAAAGGCCACAACAATTTTTTTCATCAGGCAGATGGTGCTGCTCAAAGAATTATGGGGTGACATGACAACAGATATTTCCAGAGCTGTGCAGAGGCTTCAAAGCTGTATGTAATTAGAACTCTTCAAATGGACTGTGAACTTTGACTTGTGCTGCTGGTAAGTCACTGCACTAGAACAATAGAAGTAAAGGTGCTCTTTACAGGCCAGTGGCACATTGGGTTTATGAGGCTAGACTCAGAAATGTTAGAGAACAAATGGCCTTACAATGTGGTCAACATCACGACAGCTGCCTTTACTTCCCAGGACTCCAGCTGGTACCCATTTATGGGAGCCAAGGTCATGCACAGTGCAGGTTTTAATTCACAACCTTAGACCCACAGGCTAGCTTCTAGCCACTACACTGCAGTGACTCCCCTCTAGAACAGAACAAACAAATAAATTATCTTCGTTGCTAAGCAATACCAGGCTGTAATTTGCCCATAAAAGTTGGATCAATGTACCACAAACCATCAGTCTCCACACCATTCTGGCCTAGATTATTTCTACAACACAAAAACCAAAACTTGCCTGAGTGTCAAGCTGTTAGCATACCTATCTTACTGACGGCCATTCTATTGACATTTTTGCCATTTAAAAAAAATACACCATTGATTATTGATGTATCTTCGTCTTCTCAAAAAACATACTTTGCTAATGGCCAATCTGCTAAATTTCCCATATAAAATACAATTTCTCATAACTTTCTACAGTAGAAATGTCTGTAATGTCTGCAGTTATCTGTAATGTCTGCAGTGTATCGGAAAAAATACATTGTGCTATTTTGCTTTTCCAAGGTAGTGTAAAAATAACTGAAAATTGCCGACAGATTACTTTAACTGCCACTGCTTTTTACAGCGTAGAATTAAAAAGTCTGATAACCAATGGAAACATATCTCCGCTGGTTGGGCACTCTGAACTATGACCCCTCTCATGACTGAGATATCAAGTGTCTTTGTGCTGGACAGACCCTAGAATGTGTCTCGCAAGACTGTCCTCTCCCGGAAGAGCTGTAAATGTGGCCGAGTTCAAGCTGACACCCCAGTTTATGGCTCACAATGACTTAAGTGTATGACCAGAGATTACTGGAGAAGAATAAGATTAATTTTTCATTAACATCCCCCCTCCCCATATGCTACTGTCCATAATTTGAAGGGAGGGGCAGTAAAAAGTCTGATGCTAAGAGCCAGAAGACAAGCCTTCAGGGGTAAGGGAGGCAGCACATCCCCCCCCCCCCCCTTTCACAACAAGGGTGATAACTCCAAGCCAGGAAGAGTAATGATGTGTGAAACCAGAACTGAGGTCAGATCTATGTGAAGCAAAAATAGTTACAATTCCAAATATACATATCAACAAGGATTCCACTAGCAATATCACTCAAACATCTGAGACAGCTACAATCTGAGGAGGAAACAAGCAAAATAGTGTTACTTCAATAGTAATAAAGCTTGCTTGCTTACTTTAATCATGTTGCCCCAAAAATGCCACCCTCCACAAAAAAACATGGGGGGATGGGGGGGGGGGGGGGGGGGGGGGGGGGTGGAACCACAGAAATTTAAAAAAAAATTTGCTATAAACATTTTACAGGGGTCATATTCTTTTTTTCCTTCAAGTTATCATTTTATATTTTCTGAGGGGAATAGATAAAGGGGGTAATCAATAAGCATGAGCATATTACATGTGGTACATTCCCCAGGGACTACAAAAAATATGCATCAGGTGACCAAAGCCGTGACCTCTATCACTGAGGCTATGGGAAATTTATGTCAACTTTGCTTTAAAAAAACAAAACAATGCTATCTTAAGCAGCCATAGTCAATCTTGACCTAAATGCTGCAAAGCAATGAACTCAGCCAATAGCATTAACTATGCATCCAGTAAGCACGCAGTAGAAAAGTTGGAAAAGTAACATTTATGGGGAATTAGGCCAAACTAGAAGTGTCGGTATGGCGGCTTCTCGGGATGGCAGAGTTAAAGAGCGTGTTGAAAATCTCAGTACTAGACAGGTGTTAAAACTCCCTGCCTGGTCGAGACTCCAGGTTACTATGCAACCGTCGGAGGGCCCTTTTAAAACTGTTATACCGTTGAATGGTGTTTCTGGGATTTGTGCATGTCTGATAATTCTCATCCTTAAGTTGCTGATCCTGCAGACTGTAAACCCGGAGGGGACAAACTACCTACCTACCAACAGGTGACACTTTAAAGTGTTATAGAGCTGTTATTTTAGGCAGAAGAGTAGAAGTAACAACTAGGACACAGTGGGTTAACTCTTTCAGTCGCAGACAGATGTACTTTAATTTGTTCTGGTTTAGAAAGGTTTTAAAATTTATTAAGCTGTTGTGTCTAAAGGGGTTAAATAATAAAACCATAAGACAGGAAGGGTTCAAGTGGCAGTTGTGATAAAGTGGGTTCATGTAACCCAGAGCTTGGAAGGCGCAGAAGGTTTAGACAAGCACATCATGCATGAAGAAACGAAGAAACGCATGTTACCAAAAGAGCTAATATAACTGATGTGGCACAAGGAAGCAAGAAAAGTATATTACGTAAACAGAAACCAACAAAACACATAGTGAGTTTGTTGGTACTGAAAGGGTTAAATAAAGGCAAGAGGATCAAGCGCACTGCACCAGGTTTTATCCAATATAGCTCAGTCTCTCTCCTACAGCAGCTAGTCACCCACTGACAGTATCACACAAAGCATTAAATTCCATGGCTCCAGTGATGAACAACAAGATCTCCAAAACACATGCACCTGCAAAACAAATGCACAACCTTCATAGCCCAAGGTTAATGGCTTAACCACTTCGCCACAGAGATTGTCAATGTTTGTTACTGACTGGCACCAATAAACTGTATAAAACAACATACAGTACAAATCTGATGAGGAGAACCCACTGCGGACCCAAGAAATAATTCTTCTTATCAGAAATTCCTCGTATTTGGATAACAGCTTAAGAAAGAAATATTGCCGGGGATAAACAAATTGTTTTTCACAACAGAAACTCACCACATTCGAGATCACCATAAGCTGTCTGCACTGAATTTTGAAATGTATGGCCCTTAATTAAATTAAACTATAGATAAATCTAGGCTCAACTAAACACGACATGGAAACAGCACTAAATAACTGTACCTATCATGAAATCCTGGATTTCTCCATGATTTTAGACATCTCTGCGAACCATGCTGCAATGTCAACTGGCTCGGCTTCAGATTTCTTCATTAATGGATGCTCCTGGTAAACATTAACATAACAAATCAAATTTATTTGAGCTGAAACTGCAACCACCTGTATGACTGCAGAACTTTTGCTTGAAACAAATAATAGTAACTATGCAAACTCATATGATGTAACTAAAAAATATCGCAACATAATTGTAACCGACTCAGAGTTCATGCAAAGAAAGGCACAGACAGGTATGCTCCTCACAGAGTGGCAAGCAACGCTTTAGAGGTCCCGACTAGTTAGCATCCTTTGGATGTCTTTGCCAGGTAGGCCGAAGTTTTCAGAAATGAATAAACAGATAGAGTGACTGGTTCTGCATCACGTGGTGGTGAAGTGACGCATGACAAGCTAGGCGGTTTGAGGATCTTTCAAGAGCCAGTGAACAGTGTGGAGGCACAAACAGATATCACTGGTGCTGTGAGAAGTGTCAAGGGGATCTCAACACTTGAGGGAAAGGCAAGATGGATATACAGACTGCTACTAGTGAAATCGAAACTGCTGCTAAACATGAGGATGGAGAGCTTTTGGGTTGCCCTTCAGGATTTAAAATGTGTTGGCATAAGACTAACCATCCCAGAAAAACTTAGTTGCAGAATTTAGCCAGTCATGAACAAGAAGACAAAAGGGTTCAGTGTGGTTTTGTTGATTGGTTATGATCCACTGAAAGAAGAATACAAAGGCAAAGACAACCTCCTGGCTGAAAACATCATACTGATAGGATAATACTAACTTTCTTGTTATCCATTGCCTTCCCAAAGATATCTCTGGTATCACTTTCACTAAGGGGTTACAGTGTTACAAAGATTTCACCACAGCTGCAAGTGAGAAAACAATCATGAATCTGGACAGCTTGTAAATTAACTATCCACCAAGGAGCACAGTTCCTAAATGCTACAAGCTTAAATGATAGTCCTAATCCAGACGCTGCAGTTAAATGTCAACATATGAAATGCAAAACATCAGCCCGTGCAGAGCAAGAGGTCAGATGGCTTGGCTGTGTGAGGATAATGCGCTGGTACCAAGCGCCACAGAGGGTCATGCTGTAGAAATATTATAACACAGAACTAAGGGAAGACCACACACATATTGGAACAAAGGCATCAAGAGCTGCCTTAGAAAAGTGAAGATCAGCTTATACAATACTGTAGAAAGGCCACACAGAAGATTCTTATATGCCCCCCCCCCCTCCCCCATACTTAAATGAGGGAACCGAAGGAAAAGAAGAAGAAGAAACAAAAATAATTGGTCTGGGGATATCTATCTTTCCCAGGATCCTCTTATGCACAGATTACAAGTAGCCTAGAAGTATTTGGGTGGAATGCAAGTCTCATTTTTGTTACATAATCTGGACTTGTAACAGAGTTTAACCAATCCCCCGTGTGGGTTCCGGCGCCCCATTGTAGGGGAAAACAAGACTAGACCCACTGCCTCTCCAAAAGCATGTCGTAAGAGTCGACTAATAGGGGAGCTTCCTTTGAAGTCGGAGTGCATCTGCCTGAGAGGAAAGGGACCAACAGTCTGTATTAAAGAGAATGAGATCTGTAAAACTGATGCACACGCAACATTCAGGTACTGGAGCAGGACTGCAGTTCAGTAGTGGACAAACAACCAGAACTTTCCACCAGAGTGTACAGCTGGTGAACGTGAAGAAGTAGTTTAACCAATAGCGCACTCGCACAGCAGTTACATAAAACTGGCAGATTTGGAATCACTTCATGTGGTGCAAAGCATGGCATGAGTTAAGCCTATGTTCTTTCGAAAAGAAGTATACCCTTTCTGTTATTCTGGCACAATTAAACAGTGTGCTCATCTGCTGGAGAAAGGCAGGGAGACTTCCTGAAGAACAACACTTGAACACTCCTACTATCACAATATGTTCTGCTCATTCAATGTCAGTTCGCAATAATCATATTCTAATTCCTTTTTAAAAAAATTAAATGTATGTGTGCTGTCCCTGGTTTTATTTCAATGATCTTAGCTCCCAGGTGGAACCAGCTTAAAGAAATGGGTACCAAATCACCCATCGATTGCTGACTGATCTATAAACACACCAGTAGTATCAATCATATGCCCGATGAACCACTGGCATTAAAAGGGTCCTTTACTTTAACTTTCAGCGTAGGTGGCTTATGGACCGAAAACATGTTTCTTAATGCCGAAGAATCAGGTTCGATCCTAACTGCCATTTGACAGTAGATCGCCTTGCGATTTTTTTCTACTTGTATCAAGAGCCAACCATTTAGGAAGGAATGACAAAAAATATATATATTTTCATATATTTTTTTTTTAAATATATACATATACATCAGCAATATGAAATAAACTTGGTTATCTCTTAACACAAGGTATAAAAAATACATACCAGTAACCTTCTGTACTTTGGCCGTTTTTTGCAATCTTTTGTTAAACTGAAATACGTCAACAACGTGATACAATTAGGTAAATATGTTACAGCCTTTCTCTAATGAATATTTCTAATGTGTAATCATCTTTGCATTATGACATTAATATAGAATTACTGATTGTCAAGATTTATCCATCAAAAATGGTTTAGTTAACTGTAATAACTAGATTTGATGATTGGCTGTTCTCAGAAATTTTCCATTAACAATGAAGTTGTTTACACACTGCACATCCAGTTATTAAGCAGAAATGATAACTGCTCTTGGTTTCAGAATTAGAACTGAGTCAGACCAAGAAGATAATGGAGAGATAATGTCCAGACAGACCTGCAAAGAGAAGGCCAACCAGAGAGATAAATGGAGATGGGTGACAGATATCTGCAGCAATTAACCTCGAGGGCTCGGGATGCTGAAAAAGCAGAAGAAGAATGAAGTTCTAGTTCTATCATCTGTATCCTCTTCATGTCACTGTTGATGCATAAGGCATCACAAGTGATCTCCACTACTGCTGGTCTGCTGCTTTTCTGCCCATGGTATCCCATGTCAGTTTAAACTGGCTTATTTCCTTTTCTACTGTCCTCCAGGTTTATTTAGGTCACCAACATATTTTTTTTATTATTTTTTTTTACATCTGCCTTCCATGTGAAATCGGTCTCTGCTGAAGTCTCATGAGGCATCCTGCAAACCTGTCCAAGCCACCTCAAAATTCTTCTTTTGATGTTTCCTCCTCAGTTCATTTGTGATCTTGTTTGGGGAAAATCTTTTTCTTTGCGTTCACTGGATGTAAACTCCGGCAGAAAGTTCTAGTTGTTCATTCACCTCTGGACTACAGACTTGTTCCACAACCTGAGTGTTGCATGCAGATCTGTTTTACAGATCCAACTTATTTGTATGCAGACTGTTGGTTTATTGCCTCTCAGGCAGATGCACTCCGACTTCAAAAGAAGCTCCCAATTAGTAGACTCTTATGGCATGCTTGCTGAGGAGGCAGTGGGTCTTCTTGTTTTCCCCACAATGGCTCTGGAACCCACAGGGGGACGGCAAAATATTCACAGGAGTCTCCTGACATTTATTCTGAAAAACTTTCTAGTTTATGTGCAATTCCCTATGTCATTTTCCAACACTCACTGTATGTTGCTTCTGTATATTCTGAGTTTTGGGGAATAAAAAAGTTCAAAATCTGGTTCTTTTTTTAATATCCTACCCCAGATGATGTCACAGGACAGTCCAACATTTTTGAGGGTAGTAAGACTGGGTTTCCTGGCTTTCTGATGCTTTTAACGACCCCAAAACATCTAGAACTGGCCCTAACCCCAACCTAGTTACGTCACACCAGAGAGTGCAGCCTAGGTCCCACAATTGAATGCAGCCTAGGTCCCACGACTGCATGCAGCCTTTCAACCACCCCCTAAAAAATTAGACTGTCCCGTGACCTGTGGATTTCCACTGTTTGGGGTAGGGTAATAAAGCATCCAAAATCATCATTATTTATTACTCACTTGTAGTTTTGACATGATTCATATTGTATGCTTACACAGGACAGATGCTCAACATTTTTTTAAAGTTTTATTTCTTTGCTAATGCTCAGCAAATACTTACTGCTATTTAACATTTGTATTATTATGAATTAATCAAGTAACAGAAAATGTATTGATCGGCACTCATAGAAAGAAGTAGAAAGATAGAAGAACACACTAGACAACATAAAAATCGAAGGCTATAGTTACCCTGCCGGGAATTGAACCTGTCACCCCCAGACGGCATCTACGCCTCGCCATGAATACAAGTGCACTAAGAAACATGGTCAACTAGGCACCCCCAAAAAAAGGTGTCTTATTGGCCATGTCTATCGTACAACTTGAAATCCACAACTATGGAATACGGACAGAATTCATTTCTACCCATTGAAAATGGCACCATAGGTTACAGAAATTTATTTTAAAGAAACAAATGTTGAATAACAGTCACAGCAACAATTTACGAACACAGTAGACCTTATTGCTTTGTCTAGAATACACAAACATTTAAGAAAGGTATTTGATTGGTAGTTCCTATAAATAAACAGAGGGGGAACCTTTGGGGCCGTTAAATATTATGAATTAATCAAGCAACAGAAAGTGTATTGATCGGCACTCATAGAAAGAAGTAGAAAGATAGAAGAACACACTAGACAACATAAAAATCGAAAGCTATAGTTACCGTGCCGGGAATTGAACCTGTCACCTCCAGACGGCATCTGCGCCTCGCCATGAATACAAGTGCACTAAGAAACATGGTCAGCTAGGCACCCCCCAAAAAAGTGTATATTGGCCATGTCTATCGTACAACTTGAAATCCACAACTATGGAATACGGACATAATTCACTTCTACCCTATCTGCTATTTACATTTTTTCAACTGTTCAGAAAAAAAATGTGATTATTTTACAATTTACATGCTGCACATCCAGTTATGAAGCAGAAATGTAAACTGCTGTTGGTTTCAGAATGTTCCAACACTATATCAGTTCATAAGGCTTCAGAGAGGACTTTCCATGCTTTCCTGTCCTATGCAATCTTCAGTGCAGTTTTCCATGTCAAAGATGCCGCACTCAGGTCACTTCCCATCATTCGTCTCCATGTTGTTTTTGGGCGCCCCTTTTTTCTCTTTCCCTCTGGTATCCATGTGAGAGTTGTTTTGGCAGGTATATCAGGATTGATTCTCATAATGTGGCCAAGCCATTTCCATCTTCTCTTAGTTATAACACTCTACGTAACTCTAGAGTATTGCTACTGGTGACAAGGAAATCAACTCACCAATCTTTGACAAATGACCTCAGCTCCTCTGAGAACTCACTGCCCAATTCTGGAGGCTCTTCTTGTAAAACTTTTGTAAGGACTTCAAAATCTGTCTTACAATTTTTATATGGAAACTCTCCTGTAGCTAGCTCTACCTGGCGGCCAGAGAAAATGCAAATTATTTGTTTATAATTCAAATAAAAACGAGAAAAATGTGCAGAAAATTAGTAGCTTGATCTAAATTTCCTAATTACATGACAGACACAAATAAAGTATCTGTGAGACATCAAAGAGAGCAGCTGGCTGAATGGTAGGTTCTCATGCGGGACACTTAGGTTCAAATCCGCCATAAAACCTCAGGTCCAAAGACTGCCCCCCCCCCCCCCACAGACAGTTTAGAGTTTTTTTTTTTTACACAAACATCACATAATACATCTCAGTTACAAACGATGAGAGATAGCTACTTACCAAAGATATTCCTAAACTCCAAACATCAGCCCGGATGTCATAGTCAGGGCGGCTAGGATCAGGTGGCTCGATACGTTCAGGCTATTGAGACACAACATGTGAATCAATTAATCAAACATGTACAAATTACTGCAACAAATTGTTCTTCTCCTCTTTCTTAGAGTCCAAGGCATGTGGCTTTAGTAGTCATGTCGATTCATAACCTTCTGTCTGTTGTGCTTTCAATACATTCTGACACAGATGATCTTCCATGACCAATTGAAAACTGTCCAGCCTTTTCTCTCTTGGTGTCTGTCTCTTTTCCCCTCTAACTTTCCCACTGTCATGATGTACTCCACTTTTCTCATGACATAAGCAAAGAGACCCCTGTATGGGTTCCGGGGCCCTATTGTAGGAAAAACAAGAATAGACCCACTGCCTCCCCAAAGGCATGTTGTAAGAGTCGACTAACTGGGGAGCTTCCTTTGAAGTCGGAGTGCATCTGCCTGAGAGGCAAGGAACCAGCAGTCTGCATCCACAGGGTTCATAGCCAAATTTACCAATCAATTTCAAGGCTTTTCAAGGTCTTTTTCAAGGTCTTCTTAGTTTTTTTCAAGGTTGTCTCGGTGTAATACTAATACAAGATTTTTGCCTTGTTCAAGGGTGTACTGAGCACACAAGGTACTTCATTTGTGCCACATGTGTTGGTATACCAGCACAGATATCATCATCATGTAGCATTTCCTTTGTCCTGACAAAAAAAAACTCGGTCTCTCACCAGCTCTCCCGCCTCATGTACTTTTTTATACTCAAGGAGTCACTTATATCCTGTGTCCATCTTCGTGTTGGTCGGCCCCTGAGCTTGATATAGTGTTTGAAATTTTTTTTTAGGGCTTGGTGGTAGAGGGCAGCAAACTGAAGTCCTGTCTGTTCTGGACCTGGTACCTGAGAGGGTTAGGGGAGAGAGAGAGAGTCATGAAGAGAGAGGAAGACACATGCTGAGGTAGGCTGGGAGAGACAGTGTAAAGATGGACAGATGAAGGTAGAGAAAAGAAGGAAAAGAAGTCTGGGGAAGGAGGAAAAAATGAGAGGGAGGGATGGAAACATGATGAGGAAAAGTGGGGAAGGGACAGCGAAAGACAGAGAGGGAGACAAATACAGAAAGAGGGAATGCAGATACAGAGATGGGCAGATGAAAAGAGAAGGAAAAAAAGGGAACGAAACAGAGATATGGAAGGAGGAAATATGACAAAGAGTTGAAAGAAGGGAGACAGAGGGAGAGAGAAGGACAGGGTGAGAAGCAGATGCAAGCAGAGAGAGATGTAGACATAAAGGAGAGAGAGATAAAGGGACAGCACAGAGAGGCAAGCAGACAGAGGGAGAGAACCAAAGAAAGAGAAAAAAGGCAGAGCAGGAGAATGGGAGGGAGGTATACAAAGAGGAAGTGATGAAGGGAGGCAGACAGACATAAAGCAAGAGAGAGAGAGAAGGTGGGTAAGGAAGGCAGTGACAAACACAGATTAAGAGAGGGGGGAAGGAAGGGAGACAAGATACCTCAAAGAAAAAAAACAGCAACCCACTCCCCCCCCCCCCCCCCCCCCCCCCCACACACACACATTTCAAGTGTAGTGGACACAACCACTACACAACGGAAAAAGATAGTTATGGGGCAAAAAAATATGTAGATGAACCAGGTAAAAAAAATGGGGGGGGGGGGGGGGGGGAGAGAATGAGAGAGGGGAGCGGGGTAAGGAAATCTAGAGAAAATGAAAAGACAGGATGGAGAGGAGACAAAGAAGAGATGGGACAGGAGAAAGGGCAAGGAAAGGAAGAGAGGAAGAATGGAGAGAGAAAGGAGAATAGTAGAAGATCAAAGGAAAGAGAAGGGGTGAGAGAAGAAAGGTAAGACACGGTTGTGGGGGTGGGGGGTGTAAGAACAATGAGTGCCCAAAATAGAATTAGGAAATCTCTAAGTGAGGCCACTTTTCCAGTTCCTACCCTCTCCCAATGTGAATGTGGCCATGGTCCAAAAACAACAGTGCTAACCCCTACTGCCCCTTGCTTGTCCTATCTGTGTGTGACAACAATAATTCAATTTCTTACACTTAAGGCTGGTGACCTGAGAGCCAAGGTCATTTTATGAAGAAAAAAAAAAAGTCCAGGGGATCCCAACCCACCACTGGTGGAAAATAGAGAAGTTTACCCACACACATAAATAGGCCAGACACATAAATAGGTCAGGGCAGCAGTGGACTTCATTTTATTTCTGGTTTTCCAATTACAGAAAGGAGGGGAGAGAGGAGGTGGTGGAAAGTGGTGTAGAAGGCTGAGGTGGTAAGGGTGAGACAGAGGAGGTGAGAGAATAAAGTTTAAGAAAATAAAGTGGGAATGAGACAGGGAGAGAAAGAAGGGAGTAAGAAATAAGATGAGATATAGAGGGAAGAAGGTAGCAGGAAGGGGTGCACTCCCTCCCCTAGGTGTCATCAATGTGGGAGGAGAAAAGGGGGGGGGGGGAAGGTGACGGCAAATGTGTTTTTAAAAGTACACATATATTTAATGTGTGGGAGGGGGGAATGATGGACATGAAATGTTCTGCACTAGGCAACACATAACCTTATACACCAACTGAAGGTATGGAGAAAGAAAGAAAGAGAGAGAGAGAAAGAGAGGGAGGGAGTGAGGGAGAGCGGCAAATACAAAGAGAGAGAGGAAAGCAGTGACACAGACAGTCAGAGAGTGAGGAACAGGTAGGACAAAAATGTGAGGGGGCGGGAAGGGAGATGGACAGAGATTAAGGCCGCTAGGAAAACAAACACATCAAAAGAAAATATCCACCATGTTCACACAGAATGCCCCCCCCCCCCCCCCCCCCCCCCCCAATACAACTTCCTGTGTACTTGAGTTGCTAGGAAGAGTTATGGAGCCGCACATTTACTAAACATTTAAACAAGAAATAAAATAGGAAAAAGGGGGGGGGGGGACAGGAAATGAGAGAGTAAAAGAAAAGATAGAGAGAAAGAGAAGAAGATGAAGATCAGAAGGGAGGGTTAGAGACAATGCAGGAGACGGGAAGGAAGGAGCAATAGGTAGAAGAGTGAAAGAGGGAGGGAAGAGAGAGAGAGGGGTGAGACAACAGAAGAGGGAATCTCGGGGAATTACAATACTGATCGCCAAACACACTGTAAAGATAAATCCAGGCCAAAAATAGAACTGGGAAATCCAGCTGCAGTCACTTTGCTTAGCCCCAATGCCATCTCTAATTAATAGAGAAGGCCGTGCTTAGCCCCCACCACGGCGACTCTATTTATAAATACAACTGCACCGAGCCCCACCATCTCCCAATGTAATCCTTTCTAGAAACCACGGCCATAAACGATTTAAACTGTTCATTCTGCCGGACTCGCTAGAAACAAAGGCACACACACACGCGCGCGAGACGGAATCTGCTACTTCCCGCCCCATGCCACACCGCTGCTGTCTGCATGTTTTCATGATCAGCAACAAAGCCCGCCCTCCCCTGGCCTTTAACAAGCCATTTCGGCTGAAAATAGCCAATAATCAGCTGCCCTCACACCTGAAACGACCATACAACGAAAGTAGCCAAAAACTAGCCAAATGGCCAAAAAAGCCAAATGGCTCCCTCAAAATTGCCTGTGCTGAAAAACACAGGATTTCTGACGATTTCATTGCCGCGGTCAAAATTCACGGGTTTTTAAGGTCGGAATGTCTTTTATAAGCTAAAAATCCCGGTTCAAGGTCAACGAAAAAAATCCCGGTAATTTCCCGATTTCCCGGTCCACTACGAACCCTGCATCCAATAGAATCAGATCTGTAAAACTGATGCACACACAACACTCAGGTTCTGGAGCATGACTGCAGTCCAGAAATGGACGAACAACCAGAACTTTACGCCAGAGTGTACAGCTGGTGAACGCGAAGAAGAAGAAGAAGAAGAAGATATAGCAAAGAAAATAATTTTTGAAAATAGAGTGCTTCCTTCTGATCTGGGCAATCAGTTTTTTTTTCATGAATCAGTTTTTTTGAAGATGTCTTCATTACTCTTAATGTAACATATTGTGCTAATATTTTTTTTAAAGCACTACAATAATGACAAAGAAAAATAAATAGGGCAGTCCTTCAGGAAATAACGGCCAAAAAGCATAATCATAACAAGCTCACTGATAAGATCCAAGACAAGACCATGAAAGATGGGAACCATGACTGGTCACACTGTTCAACGTGGCCAATGATACAAAAACACTTGTTTACGAGTGCCAATCCATGCTTTCGAACAGCATGAGTGGCTATAACTTGTGGAGGTCTCAGTATGCTAGTGCTTGTACAGACCTATCGCTCAGGTCATGCAGGGGTGTGTAAAAACATTAGACCTTGTAAGGGAACCTATAAATTTGTCAAAGAAGACGGACTGAAGTCATGTACTGCTAGCAATAAATGACAGTCTGCTGAAAGGTGACACATTTTTTTGTTTAATCTCCTCAATTATGTCTCTTGGGGGTGAATATTCTAGTTAGGATTAGTCACGATTAATGCAAGCCAGGACAATTCTGGCATGCTAACAAACTCACAATAAGGGACAATCAACCATCATCCAATGATATCTACTAGAAAAGGCTGAGGGCTCAAAGCTTCCCAGAGTGCAATGGTGTAAGTTCTTCATCATGATTCCTATTATAATGTGCACTGATTACACTAAAAGTGACTGAAATTACAGCAAGGGTTCCATTGCTAATGTTCTAGTGAGAGATCCAGTGAAGATTAAAAATATGCATTCTGGAAGTCACTAATAAAGTTTAGTTATCATTACAGTAAGTAAAGGGGTACTGGGCATATAGGGCTAGACCTATATTTTATACACCAATCAGCACTTGATACGGGTTGTGGTCAACATCACGTCAGCCACCTTGACTTTCCAGGAATTTACCTATTTCTTGAATGAATGAATGAAGATCTGACATCACTGCCCTTGAGACATTCCCACACGTGTTTCATCTCCTTCCCTGGCAGCCAATGAAGAGCCGGCATACAACCAGTACCAGTTGGGAGCTGATGAAAAGCCCACCTATATTTCCCCCTCAGTGATAAATTTCTTCCAGAACGTCTACTCACCCTGCCTCCTTCCCTCTCCACCCCCAATTTATGGCTTCTTTTGCACTGTTCATTTATCCTAGAGAGCCTTCACCACAACCGTTTTATGATAAAGTAGTTCAGCTTTCGGAGGAGCGGCAGCAGCAGCCAATCTGCCAGCCTGCCCAATAACCCGCATAGCCCAATGTCCTGGACAGTATATCTGTTTAACAGACTGACAAATAAATTATACAAATCTCTCACATTTGGTTGTCCATGGACACCCGGGGGTCTGTGGAACAAATTTAAGGAATCTGTGATATCAACTATTTTTTTTAAATCCTCAACTTTGAAATACAATCATTTTGGTGATTCTAATGTTTACAAATTATAAGTTCTTCTGAATAGCTATTTCAAAGAAGGTTTTAACTAACTGAGAACCAATGAATCAGCCAATAGAAGTAGAATTAGTTTCACCTACTGCCATATAAGCAGCACATCCTGCTGATCTGGTTTTGGCCTTGGAGTCCACTAGCCTACCACTGATGCCGAAATCACAGAGTTTGACATTTCCCTTGTCATCAAGTAGTATGTTTGAGGGTTTCACATCTGACGGACAGTGAAAGATAAAACATTCTACATTTCAATCCAGACAAATATAGTGATTTACAGTTATTTATGTAAGAATAGAAGTGGGTATATTAGGACACAGCAGACAACAGGAACATCAAAAGTTACCAGCATGCTAGATTTGAAACCAACACGAAATAAAGCTAGCACCATGCTAACTGAAGACATGTGTTCTGATGATGGAGGGGGCATCCAGATCAAAAGTAGCATAATTATGTAAGTATGTCATCAGACTGAATAAACACTCCACCAGGTAAGAATTCCTACCTAAAGTGCCACACTATCATCAGAGTTTCTTCTTCTATTTCACTTATCTGGGGATGTAATTAAGCTGTGCCTGTTTACAGCATGCCTGCGATATTGCACCTTTTGGCTGACACACCCGATGTCGTCTCCAGGCCCACGTTGCCCAGGCTATCCCTTCTAGCAATTTGAGTTTATCATCCAACAAAGCCAAAAACTCAACCGCTTGACCTTTTTACTTGAGGTGTCAACATTTTCTCAGTTCCTGTTATCCTCCTACAAAGGAAACAGGAATATACAAGCATACTAAAGCTTCAAACATAAGCACCCTCAACACAGACCAGAAATGATAGATGAACTAAGGAAAGAATATTAGAATATTAAAATCAGACAGCATGTAAAAATAGAGGGAAAAAAACCATTGATATGGCAGTTGAATTTATAAAGTAGAGACAATCAGTCCGGGAGCTGCTGCAGGAGTGGGATAATTTTTTTCTTTTTCATTTTCTAAATGACAGCATCATTAACCGAAGTTACCAAGTCTCTTCTAATCAGGACGTAGCACTCATTTTAGCCTGGGTCAACTTGGCAGCTAAGGTCAATTCTTAACACAAAAATCTCCCTTCAAGCGGCTTTTAACCCTAGGCCTCCAGCGCAGTAGGCAAAGTGTCTAGCGGCTGCACTACCATGACCTGCCTTACAATATGAAAATTCTGTACATAATGAGGAACGTTTTTACATTCATCACTATCTCCAAGAGTATAATGAAGCTTTCTCTACAGTTTTTCCTTGTCTGGCTACATGTTATTCTGTTCCAGGCAAGATCAATGTGCTAATGGGGGTTCAGACATGGCCCAGAAAAAAAAAGCATTAAATCAGTCACATTTACTCCTGCCCTCGAGTTTTTATTGCAGTATTGTCAAGCTTGTCTCCTTAGCCGTCATGCTTGTCCTCAAGAGTAAGCTTCTAATTTCCATCATGTCTGAGTATTTTCACCGCCATCTATCTTGAGATAGCCACTCAAACATGAGACTGAAAAATGTCAAATCAGAAATAAAAGACTACAAAAAATTTAAAATTAGATTCAATAAACTTGACTGACCTCTGTGTATAACTCCATGTCTTTCTTTGAGGTAGTGTAGAGCATTTACAGTCTGTCAGGGGAAACAATATGCATGAAAGGTGATTTTCGACAGAAATCGGTAGAATAACATAAGACCGAGTGCTCAGGTTTCTTTATTCACTCTCAAGAATCTCATTAACACTGACAATCTGCTCCCTGTTTATACTGTTTCAATTCACTTGTTCCACGATATGAATGACCCACAATACCAATCAACTTCTCAGGTACTCAACAGACTAAAGGACAGGCTACACGGTTTGTTTGCTCTGAGACTGGAGAGGACCATACTGAAATTATCTCTTATAGCAGGGTTATTCAACTGATGGCCCATGAGCCTCATCTGGCATGCCAGGGCCCAGCAAGTGGCCCTCTGATCACCTGCCAATTGTACTGTATTAATACTGTATTAATAATCTTTCTATGCTGGGGCCCAGGGTACTGGCCTGCAATGACTCCTATTTTCCTCTATTTTGGCACCTGAGTCAATTGAGTTGAATGGCCTGGTCTTATGGGATCCTTTGAATCTTTTCACCAGGGCATGCTGGGTAATAAAACTGGCCTGCTCTGCACCACATGGTGGTGAACTGATTCATGACAAGCTAGATCTGACCTAGTAAACAATATAGAGGGGGAAAATGGATCATCATGGTCTGGGGAGAATGACAGGCAGGGAATGACCAGGGAATCTGACTGACACTTAACACTTAGAGGGAAAGGACAGACATATCAGAATAGTTCTGGCATCACTAGTACTGGAACTCTGTAATGGCTGCTGAAGATGGGGATGGAGTGTTGTGGCGTCAGCTGTTAACTCAACTCTAATAGGCATCTTCTTCAGGTGCCCGGCCTGAGACAAACATTGGCAGGCAGGAAACTCCAATTCTCTTTTACATTTTTAACACAGTTAGTGGTGACAATTTTTCAAAGATATATTTTAAATGTTTTTGTGTGAAAATGCATTATTTTAAATATGATTTACAAGCAAACTAGTTAGCATTGGTTTTGTTTTTTTCTCCATTCATGAGTATGATAAGAGTGTAATGATCTTTCAACTAGACCTTTTTATTGATACTTTTTTATTTTTATGTTTGTAGTTTGAAAGAGAAAAGATTATATTTGAACTGCTCAACTACATACAAAAGATATATATACATAAATGCTTCAAATCTACAAAGACATAACTAGACATTCCCGTGTAGGTTCCTGGACCCCACTGTGGGGGAAAACAAGAACAGACTCACTGCCTCCCCAACAAGCATGTTGTCAGAGTTGTCTAACCGAGGGCTTCCTTCAAAGTTGGATCATATCTGCCTGAGAGGCAAGCAACCAACAATCTGCATACAGATATGTCAGATCTGTCAAATGGATGTAGATCCAGAGGTGGACGAAGAACTAGAACTTCACGCCGGAGTTTAGAGCCAGTGAACGCCAAGAAGAAGCAAATAACTGGGCAAAATACATCTACAAATATCAAATCTGAAACAGGTAATAAAATAATTTATTGCCCAGCTGGTCATCTTTCTACACATTAACGTGGACATTAAGCAAAGAAGACAATAGAAAACTAACCACCTGTGAAATCTGATGTTTGAGAAAGGCTGCAAACAAAACCATAAGATATCATGATAATTGAAGAGATGAGAACTTTTGGAACAATACTCATCATGAAATTAACTGAGAAACAAAGTATGAGATAGTTTGGCCACCCAGTGAGAATGAATCCAAACAAGAAAAATCCAATAGGCAGAGGCAGAATTACACTTTGGATTGAGGCAGTTAGTGACAGCTTTACACCTCACATTGTATACCAAACAACAAAGCACACCCTAGGTTCCCCACCTATCATCCACTAAAATAGTGGCATAAAAAAGATTCTAAACAAAGAAGAACATCCATTTAAGTAAAACTAGTGGACACTTACAGCAACGACAACTTTGCCTAGAATCCGCTCTGGGACGGGTCTCCTTGTCCGTTTTAACAACTTGTCCAGGCATGTCGCCATCAACTCCATACAAATCCATACCTCACTCTGTCAATGATCAGCAACAAAAACAAAATCAGACGCTTGAATGTTAGGTTACAAACATTCCCTCTTTGGATTGTGGGGCCCCATTTTGGGAGGAAAAAACACAGATCCAGTGCCTCCTAACAAGCGCATCACACAATCAGCTAAGTAGGAGTCTGAAGAAATTAAATTCGTTGGGCCGAAAGATGTAGATATCGCAGCCTAGCTGTAAGCCACAATAATCCTTTTAAGGGTGAACACAGAAGAAATGACACAAATAACCACTCACCCAGTGACAACAACTGACAACATAAGCATAACACTCAAAGTAACCACAAATCATCACATGGCTGCGGACAACAACTGACAACATAAGCATAACACTCAAAGTAATCACAAATCATCACATGGCTGCGGACAACAATTGACAACATAAGCATAACACTCAAAGTAATCACAAATCACCACATGGCTGCGGACAACAACTGTCAAAAACTGCCTGATAATCACAAGCTAACTATGAAAGGATAGCCGCCATGGTGCAGTAGCTAGATGCTCGCTTGCAAATCTGAAGGTGGTGGGTTCAGGTTCAGATAAAGGCAGACTTTTTGCAAACAAAAACTAGCCTAGCTCCCAGGCTGCTCAAGTCCTGGGAAGTAAATGTGGCCAGCTTGATGTTGACAACATCACCCACCAAGTGCCAGTTTGCCTAAACAATACAGGTCTAGCCCTATTCGCATGAATTCATGAAAAAGGGCCCTTTACTTTTTTTTAATCACCAAGGACAAACTGGAAATGAATAAAAAAGAAAACTATAATTAATAATAGGAAGGAAAAAACATAAATGAGAATATTTTGCAGTGTGGGGAGGGGGGGGGGGGGGGGGGGGGGGGGGGGGAAACACACCCTGGTGTAGTAGCTAAATGCTCACTTTCAGAGCTGAAGGTATTGGGTATGAATATGCATCTCTCCGTGTGAGTTCCGGGGCTCCATTCTGGAAAGTAAAGAATAGATCCACCACCCCAAAAACAAACATATTGTAGGAGGCGACTAATTAAGGGTGTTTCCTTCAATGTTGGAGTGCATCTGCCTGAGAGGCAAGGGGAGGAGAAAAAAAAAGTGTGTACAGATAAGCCAGATTGCAAAATAAAAGTGCATGCTAAGCTCAAGTTCTGGATTAAGACCAAAGTCCACGAGTGGGCGAACAACCAAAACTTTCCATCAGATTTTAGAGCCAGTGAAAGGATACAAGCAAAAAATAATCCTCATTGAGTCTGCAGTTTTCAAATGTTACCACGGCTATCAGGTCAATCCAACTTAAACTGAGCACCAGGTAACATCCTGTGAAGTAAAGGTGGTTGGCATGATGCTGACCACATCTCCCACCGAGTGCTCACTGGCATATAAAAATATGAGTCCAGTACCACATGCACAAAACACCACTGGCTTAAAAGGGTAGTTGATTTTTTTTTTTTAAACTTTGAATACTTAATAAAACGATAATGATCTCAATAATGATTTTGTTAACTAAGTCGACAGATCCTTCTCACTATACATCAAACCTTTCAGTCTATAAGTGCTTGGATTCCCTCAGCAGTACACCCTGAAGCGTGTAATGCCTGGTAATACCAGTTCTGTGTTAGAGCTTTTTTTTTATTTTTGTCGGTGGCTTCCAGCATAGAGTTCTTGTCTGGCCTCACTTATTTCTGCTTCTTCTTCTTAAAGTCCATGCTCAGTGGCGTTGGTATCATGTCTACCTGCAACCTTATGTCTCATGTGATGCCATGACGTCAAACTGTCCAGCAACTTTTCTCTCAGTCTTACTCTGTCTCCCCTCCAATTTTCCTACTGTCACAATATACTCCAGTTTTCTCCTTCTCTTCCCATGACCAAAGAATGTGGATTGTCTCTTTACTTATTTTCACTTGCTGTTAGTTATACAAATGATAACATTCTTACTTTGAATATATCCTGTGTGGGTTTCTGGACCTCTTTGGGAGGGGTTAGAAAATATACCTAGTGTCCCTTAGAAAACAAGCTATAAAAGGCCATTAATTAGGAGTTTGCTGAAAGGTGCAGATATCATGGCCTAGCTGTAAACAACAACACAAGATGGTGTGCCAACAGCCTGTTTATGGACAAACACAATGAAGAGTGCAAGCACAGTAACAATGAGCCTAATTACTAAGCATCAATCAGTTCGTGTGAGGCTTACCTTAGTGATGAAAGTACCAATGCAAAGGACAATGTAGGGGCAATCATGGCTTTTGATGACAACATCCAGGTCCATAATAATTCTTTTGTTCTCATCTTTATTGCCAGACCGACGCATTTGCTGAACAATGGATGGAAACAATGCTATTCGCTGTAACTTAGGCATTACAATTAGTTCATATGCAGCATAATTATGACTTAAACCTTGGTGATTTGAAACTATCACCAGTATAAGCAAGTTATTATGACTAAATGATTAGCATCATTAGCATGTAGCAGATCTTTTGCAGAACGCCGCTTTCATTACCCTCTACCTGAAAGAAACACGGTATTTTTCCTACTTTGCCACTTCGTGCACTTTCCTACCTAGGTTGTCACTTGTATCCTGTGCCCATCAATTATTACAATTACTGAGCAAAAATAGTTGCCAAAGGATTAAAATATTACTTTACACTGTTGATGTTTCATTTAAAGCTATTTTCCATCTTGCAAAAACTAAGATTACAAACAGGGAAAATACAGCAACTTATAAATATTCACAATTTATGAGGCGACACATTATGAGAAGAGAAAAATTTGAACATTTTAAGGTAAATGGAAGATTCACACAGACAAACACACAATGTTAAAGAGCGTTAAAGGCAGCAAGAGAAGACTGTCACAGCACAGAAAAGTATCACACAAAAACTGCAGCATTATGCAGAAGAGGGTTGCAATGTAGAAAATAATCACCTTTGCCAGCACACAGCACTTAGTGATGATGACAAATGTGTGAAACAACAGACGGAAAACATAACAGAAATAACACTGGAATGCATTAATTCAGATAAAGAAAAAAGTTGTTTTTTTTTTTTAAAAGTTCTCTTTACATGCCAGTGGCGCATCAGGCATATAAGACTAGACTTATATTTTTATAGACCAAACGCCCTTGATGGGCTATGTATCACGCCAGTCATCTTTTCTTCCCAGGACTTTACCTGGTACCCATTTAGAGCCAAGTTGACATCAGAGCCAAAGTCCTTATTTGAGTAAAAAATCTAGCATCACGCGGATTTGAACCCATGACCTTCAGATATACAGGCAAGCATCTAGCCACTACACCAGGGCTGCTCCCAGGAGATGAAGAACATGTCTATAATTAAAAAAGAAATGAATGAAATGAGTTGGGATGCGAACCAAAATCACAGCACTCAGAATATTTCCAGAAGCGCTCCATCCCGATCTTCAGCAGCCAGCACAGAGTTCCAGTTCTGACGGTTCCAGTAGCTGCCTGACTGTATATCTTTCTAGCCAGTGGTTCTCAACCTTCTTAATGCCGCAACACTTTATTACAGTTCCTCATGTTGTGACCCCTCAACCATAAAATTATTTTCGTTGCTACTTCATAACTTCAGTTTTCCGATGGTCTTAGGTGATCCTTATGAAAGGGTTGTTCGACCTCCGAAGGGGTCGTGACCCTAAAGTTGAGAACAACTGGTCTAGACTTTTATCTAAGTGGTTGTGTTATCAGCCTAGTTCCCCTGGTCACCCCTCGCTGTACCATTCTCTTCAGAAATGAAAAAAAATGATGAAAAAACAGATCTGAACTAGATAAGTACCAACCTTGACTGCCATGAGTTGGTTGGTTGGTTTATGCCTCATACGTGTCACCTGCCCACATGTGCCATGGCCCAGCTCTCCTTCAGGCTGAAGGTCTTCAACATTACATAGAAGCCGCTGCAAGGAAAATATTATCAATACATTTTTTTTTCAAATACTCGCTGAATAAATACAAGCAACAACATAGAGATATGACGTGTCTACTATGGCCAAGAAGAGCAAGAGGCAGAACCATATATCTTCCTTAACACCCAAAGCGGTAAAAGAGGAAGTGAAGAAGAACAAAAACAGAATTCTTCTTCTTCTTTGTGTTCACTGGCTGTAAATTCCAGCAGAAAAATCCTTGTCTATCAGGCAGATGCACTTCAACTTCAAAGGAAACCTTCAATCAGTCGACTCTTAATGAATAAAAAACCTCAGCCAGAAAAGGGGTTCTTTACATAGACAAAATGCAGAAGTTTCAATGTTCACTTTGTTGAAAAGACAAGCATTCTGCGTGTTGTATTCTAAAAATCATAATTTGATCTTCCCTCCCTGATTCACCATGTCTATGCAATTAGAATGCACCATAATCCACTGTGTGCATCACAGAGAATCACCTTGATTGTGCAACACATCACTGTTTATATGTCAGTGATCTTAACTTCATCTTCCCACTATTAGCAAAGAGGCTGTGGCACCTTCAAATTAAATTCAAACAGTTTCAAGAACCTTTAAACATACCTGAGATCCAAAAGTAAGAATCCCGGACTGTTTGTATATCTCTTCTATTTTGTGATCAATTTCTGCACTGAAAGTGTTAAAAACAAAATCAATAAAAACATTTGATGTGGATGAAACCTGAAAATGTAAACAAGAATAAAAACATGCAAAGTTGGTGATAACTATAAGTACAAACAAACAAAAATAATCAATAAAACACACAATGTTGGTGATCCTTGAAAGTGTAAATTCAAGAAGCCAAGTGAAAAGTTTGCAAACGATTGACAAAACAAAAAAATAAATCTCTCCTCGGTTTACCAAACTGGATTCTTGTGCGCACATGTTTGTGTATCCGCAGGAAGGCCAAGGCTGTGCTACAAAGACATATTCAAACGCAATCTGAAAGATACCAACACTGAAACAAACACCTGGGAGACATCAGCTGCAAACCAACTCCTATGGAGGATGACAGTGAAGGATGGACCATGATGTTTGCAAGAGGCCAAATGCAGCAGGCCATAGAGAGGAGACGTTTGAGAGAAAAACAACCTGAGTTATCAACCTATTTTTGTGGACTATGTGGCAAAGAACATCTTGTGCAATATATCCTTGTCATTGAGAGTTAGAAAAAGAATTCTTGTTTGCTACATACATCCAGTTTTAACATATGGCTGTGAATCCTGGACAATTGGTAGGCAGGCCAAACAATTTCTTGAGGCCTCAGAGATGTAGTTTTACAGAAGAATGCTTAGAATACCTTGGACAGCCAAAAAGAGCAACCAAAATGTTTTGAAAGAGGCGAGAGCCCGAAGACAACTTATCACAGACATCAGAAGGAGACAGCCATCATTTTTCGGCCATTTTATGAGAAGAGAAAATAGAATATGTTGTGACCTCTGGAAAGAGGGACAGAGGAAGACAACGAGAGAAGATTCTTGACAGTCTTGTTGCATAGCATAAAGGTGTGTCGGCACATGAACTGATACATGCTGCAGGAGATCGCAGATTGTGGAGAGGCATGATCGCCCACGCCAGTCAGCAAGGCACCTGATGATGTGGCAAAGACTGCCACTCCCTCACTGGACTTTACAGTCATAGCAGACGCTGTTCCCAAAACCAGCGGCACAGCTCTACGGCTCCCAGGGACTGACTGTTGCCTACCATAAGTGTGCATGTGTAACAAATAATGCCTAAAGCTACCCCCAAACAACAATGTAGGGGTTGATTCTCTGTGAATGAGTGGGGAGAAAAGAATCTCTCTCTCTTCCCTAGTTCCTTCCCATAAACAACCCACTAAAATAGAGAACTAAAAAATGTTATGTATACTCAGGGTAATTTTTTTTTCTGGCGGTACACAGTACCAGCTCCATTTAAAGGCATTTATTTCTGAGTTACTGTAACAGACTTTGAGTACCAGCACCTATTTTAGCCACTTTGTGGTGAACACCAGCACCTTATTTACTAGGGGAAAAAGGCCATGTGTATACCCAACCCTGCTGTGTGGTGCAGAGACCTAGACAAAGAACTATCAACTAGAAAATTAAATGACTCTCTGGAGATGTGGAATACAGAGAAACAGGTCAATTTTTTTTCTTTTTAACAAAGAAAATCAAATATAGATTCTCAAAAGACTATGAATTATCTGGGAAAAACTGCAGAAGGAAAAAAAAGCATAAAATATAAAGATCAGTGTAATATTTTTGCCCTTTTAAAAGACATAAAACCCATAAAAACCATACTGATTTAAAAAGTTTAGGACAAGCAAGCAAGAGGCACACAGTGATAAAAGTGGGAAGATAACATCAATCAATGGATGAACAGCAGCCTCAGGGTGTACATCCATGACAAAAGATAAGGGTGCTATTGCACCAATCTTCACTGCGGAGACAGCATCTTACTGACTGACTGTGAAAATTTATAAGATTTAACATACAAATATTTGACAAGATTAAAATAAAAGTGTACCACTGTTCTCTGGTAAATAAAAAAAAAAGGAACGAACTGCAATTTCTTACCATCAAAACTGAAACAAATTATAACTCATATTTGAATTTTCCTCCAAGAAGTCCCTAAAGTGATGCTTCTTATACTCCCTAGTGAAGCCCTGCAAATGATGGACAGTAAACTTGAGATCAAATTAACAAAAGCCACACTATATACTGACATTTTGGAGACAATGTATCATCATCATCAGGTGCCTTGCCGACTGGCGTGGGCGATCATGCCTCTCCATAATCTGCGATCTCCTGCAGCAGGTATCAGTTCGTGTGCCGACACACCTCCATGCCATGCAACAAGACTGTTTTATGTATTATTTTGAGGCATGATTTTCTTGGGATAGTACAGCGGTGGTTTCCCCTTGACTTCCGCCGGTTTTGTATATGGTTTGACTCCAATAGCCTTTGTCTAAAGAGACTTACCCTGCAAGGAAATGTATAGGCATAGTTAATGAGCCATCAGAGACTACACTACCTGTCTGGCACAGTCCGGTGAGGGGATCTGGTTCCACAGTCTAGCTGCATCACATTGGGCCGCCTTCGACCAGGCAGTGTTGGGCCAGGTCTCGTAGCAGGGGGAGGAGAAACGGAGTCTGAGCTGCTCCATCTGCATCCACTGGAAAAATAATAGTGAAATGAATGTAGGTGAAATCATGACAAAAGTAATTTTATGGCTATACCCCTATTGTGAGCCGCCATGGTGTAGTGGCCAAGCGCTTGTCATATTGTTTATTGTGCAGCAGGAATATAAGAGATGAACTTGCAGAGGCCAAGGGTGCTGGACTGAATTCAATCCATGATACTGTGAGGACTGCAGTTAGACTGACGGAGCTGGACATTTTCCAGTGTGATGTTGATAACATCACCCACTGAGGGCTGAATGGTCTATAAAATATAGGCCTAGCCCTATAAGCATGAAGGCATGGGAAGAGGTCCTTTACTATACCCTCTGTTTTAATGTCATGTAGTCAGGACTCTACCCCCATACGGGATGTGGGTCTCTCGCTCACTTAAGGACTGTACCCCGGTGAGGGTCTCTCACTTGTAGGATTGTACCCCCATGCAGGTTGTGGGCCTCTTGTAAGACTGTGCCCCTAGGTGGGTTGTGGGTCTCTTACTTGTAGGACTGTGTCCCTAGGTGGGTTGTGGGTCTCTCACTTGTAGGACTGTGCCCCCATGTTTGTTTGTGGGTCTCTCACTTGTAAGACTGTGCCCCTGTGTTAGTTGTGGGTCTTTCACTAGTAAGACTGTGCCCCTAGGTGGGTTGTGGGTCTCTTTACTTGTAGGACTGTGTCCCTAGGTGGGTTGTGGGTCTCTCACTTGTAGGACTGTGCCCCCATGTTGTTTGTGGGTCTCTCACTTGTAAGACTGTGCCCCTGTGTTAGTTGTGGGTCTTTCACTAGTAAGGACTGTGCCCCTAGGTGGGTTGTGGGTCTCTCATGTGTTGGGCTGTGACCTCATGTTAGTTGTGGGTTTCTCACTTGTAAGACTGTGCATCTAGGTGGGTTGTGGGGCCCCATGGTAGTGGAGAAACAGACCCATTGATTCTTAACAAGCATACAATTAGACTATTAGGGATTTACTGAAATCGGAAATGTGTGGTTGAGAGACAGAGCTGATACCACAGCCTAGCTTTTAAACCATAACATGTGCCCTTTTGAGAACAAATGCAAAAACAGAAAGTAAAACTAAATTCATGCGGTGAAAAAATAATCAAACAAATAAAATTCATCCTGCTTATAGGCGGTGGAAAACATATATGGTTAATACCAGCATCAACTAATTTAATTGTAAAAGAACTTTCTAAAGACTAAAGAGGTTCTGGAAGATTTTTAACATTGAAAGGGAAATAGAGGTGGACTTTTCATCAGGTTGTAAGTGGTACTATTAGCATGCTAGCTCTTCACTGGTTTCTGAAAAGGGAGCAGAGCATGGATGCGAATGTCCAGAGAGTGGTGATGTCAACGCTGTGTTCTTGATTCATTCATTCTAAAGAGTACTTTTTTTTTTTAAATAAAATTGTCAGAATTAACTTTTATCTCTAAGAATTTAATAACAAGAATTAATTAGCGCTTTAGAACTTAATGAAGAAAAAAGAGAATGAAAGCCAGCCACAGAAAATACCTCATATTCATACCCAATGGGGAAATTCTTCAAAGTGTTAGTCTGAAATGTGTTTTTTTCCCCCTTTGTTCCATGTTGAAAGACTACTCAATAAATAATTTACTGTCCTTTTGTTTTCTGCTCACTTGTTGTTGTTTTTTTTTCTTTGGCTATGTTTGCATCCTAGTCTTTCGTTTTACTTTTACTTTCATTTAAAAAATAATGTAATATAGTAATTATAAAATAATAATATTATTTGTAAAATTTCAAATAGCTGCTTTTCTTCACAATTAATAAAATATCTAGGACTAAGAAAGAAATGATTATAATAATTCTGTACATAATTTTAAAATCAGTCACTTCTATCACTCATTCCTTCCTCTCTCTCTGTATGATGGAACATTCGAGTTTATTTTGTTGGCTCTATAGTTTTTGATGATAATGCTTGCTAAAAATAATTTGATGATTTGTACTGAAACAGTACTGACTAGGAAAGCTACAGTGGTGAGTACAATTGATTCCAGTACACAATGATGGCACAGTGGTCATATTAATTTTTATTATTACTACTATACTACCACAAAGTTTACAGTTTTAAACTGTAAACTTTGTGGTAGTATAGTAGTAATAATAACTGAGTTTACACCAAAACAAAATAGTGGGAAACAAAGTAAATATTGACGTTTATGAACGATTAATCCAACCTAAAATTGACGTAGTACTGAACTTTACCACATTCGCGGGCGTCTGGGACTTGCGAAACCCACCTCTGTGTTGCGATGATCATTGTTTCCTGTCAGCGTCGTGTGAGCGGTTTTCATCCAGCAATCGTCTCTGGAGTTCGTCGATTTTGTTGAGCAGAAACTGGGAGGACATCTTGGATCTCGCGTCACATGACTAGCGGTCGCTTTGTGTCCGTACTAACGTCGTGATCGTTGGCCTTTCGCTAAAAAGGTGGAAAGTTTCTCAGGGATTAGAGTACCTCTTTGTGTTCTCTAAAAATTTGTTTTCCTGTATTCAATTAGTTCTCCTCATATGTCACGCTCTCTCTCTCTCCTTTCCTATCTCTCTCCTCTCTCTCTCCACCCCAGTTATACACTGTTTTCCCACTTTTATGTAATGAAACAGGGTTTCGTATATATATATATTTCCCCCCTTACACTCATAATCTCTGACTATATTGTCGTTGCTTATAATGTTCCTTCACAAAGTTCTTGAAGATAAAGGTCGGCCTGATGATGTCGACAGTGTAATGTATATCGACTACCAATTGATTTTACACAAAATGATTAAGCATCATATGCCCGTACGTATCACTGGCGTGAAAAAAAGAGGACAAAACTTGCTCAAATTCCTTCCTTTTTTCTGTCAAGTATTCAGTGTGTTTACTCTCAGTGTGTGTTCTATCCCCCCCCCTCTCTCTCTCTCTCTCTCTTCGTTCTCTGATCGGCTCTCATCTTTGCTCGTTCTCTCTCGTCTCTCTCTCTCTTCTCTCATTCTCGTCTTTCCCGTCCTGCGGCCTCTTCCTTTCAAAACGCGTCCTAAAAACGTCTGATGGCAGACTTTTCGGCAAAGAAAGCGGCGATACACTTGACGAAACCAAACCTCATGAAATGGGACGCGGGTTAGGTCTGAATCGCTAGGCCTGTCTTTCGAAAAGCATGTTGACCATGTCATAACAAAAGCATGCAAGGCCTGTCAGCAATTAGGGTCCCGGCTGCTTCTGTTCTAGGCACTTGTTCTTTCTCCCATCGATATGCTCTAGCCATTCTCACTGCCAGCCATATTCAGACTGAGATACTTGAAAAGGTGCCAAACGAAGCCATGCGAATATTCTAGTGCACAAGAGACACCTCTTGTCTAACAGTGAGATACCTTACTGGCTTTCCCCACAATGAACTACTTCCTAAATTGTAATAAAAGTCAAGGTGTAATTTTGGGACAAGTACAAAAATTAAAGTATCTGGGCACATGAATAACATCAGATGGAAGATGCATTACTGAGATAAGAAACAGAATAGGACAGTCAAAACTGCATTTTATAAATGTAGAACATCTTATGCAATTATCTTTGTCAGAAAAAAACTTCCGGGGTAAACAGCCACAATGGCGGCAAAGCTTTTTCGTCCGTTGAGGCGAATGGCACAAATTAACTATTTTCGCACAGTATAATGTGAAAGTTTCATCGGGAAAGGGGTCTGAACCGTGCAATGGGGTTCATGCACGTTAGTTCAGACTTCCCTCAGGGTGTATTCAACGTCCGATGGCGACTATTTACAAAATTCAAAACACCCGTAGACGGAAGGGAACGCGAACAGGGAAGCACGGTGGCGCCTGCAGGAAGCGACTGAAATGTGAGAGACTCAGTTTAAGTATGTTCGCGTTCTCTACTGGAACTGCGCTTCTTTCAGTCAACGCCGACCCATTTTCGAGAAAACTTCTCTACAGCAACGACATTGTTGTCCTACAGGAAACACACCTCGGTGACGAGATCGTTAGAATTTCGGGCTTCCAATCCTTCTACAATAAAACGGCACCTCGACAGCTCATTCTTGTTTGTGACCACATACTGGTGTCTGAGGTGGACATGTCGAGTGGGATAATGACGACCTACAAGTAAAACGCAGCAGAGGTTGGGGGCCCGG